AAAGGTTTTTTAAACACATTGTTGACTTTTTCCAGAGAAATTTCCTTCAAGGAATACTTTACTACCTATTGAGGAAGGAAATTATGCTTCAAAACACTTGACTAGGCTTCAGAATAGATGGGCCACTTCAAAACTAGTATTTGCTAGTATGTAAACAAATTTAAAATATGCATATTGACAAATACAAACCATGCAATTGGAAGCAAGAAACCCGTATTTTATTGAATAAATAAATAATTACATTGAGGGGTCTATTTGGTTACATTATCAATTTCGTAAAAATAAGGAATGGAAAAGGTTACGAGGTCATGGAACTTAGTCCAACAAAACTCAATGAACACATGTTCTCGCTCTAACCTTTCCTCTATCCTATCTAACTGGGGCTTTTCTGGCTGATTTGCCCTTATCTGGTAGAAAGCTGTTGGGCTTTTATTTCAAATTCTATTTGCATCATTTCATTCTCCACCACATCTATTCCATCCATCCCATCTATATTGGCGTCTTCTCCATATACCGAATCAGGGTTCTTGAAGTCTTCATATTCTTCAGGAAGATTCTCCACTTCATATTAGGTTTGAATACGAGCGGCAGAGATCTCTTGTTGAGGCATTTTTGTGCCAGTTGAGCAAAAGAGGGAGTTGGTCCAAGAAGGCATGGAGTTTTGTTTGGGCCACTAGATTGAGGATGTGGTTTCGGGAGACAATATCACAACCCCACAGAAGGTTCATGTGAGGGGTGTCATCTCGAAGCACTCCGACGGATAGGTGGGAGAAGGCAGTAAACAAAGTTTGGGCTTTGTACTGCTGATAGGTAGTAAGGGGAGCTGGGGCCTGATAGGGGGAAAAATGTCGGTCCTCAAAGAGTGTGAGCTTCAATTTCTTAATCCAGCTAGGGTTATGAGGAGGAAGGGGAGGAGCAGTTAGGTCCCCTCCAAAGGAAGGTAGAAACTGGGGCTCATTCACACACTCTAGCCAGTCAAAAGAGCAGAGTTTTGCTTTCTTGTTGTGAGGGGCTCAATCCCAGAGCCTCGATTGGATGAGGGGTCTTCCGCACTATTTTGGTCGGCAAGTTAGAAGTGTACCATGCCAAAAGCAAATTGTCTTCGAGGCAGCAGAAGTGGTCAAATTATACATAGGGGTATACCATGGAGCTGCGAGAAGAATGAGGAACCAAAGTAGGGTCATTGAATTCAATAAGTCTATGGTGAATTCTCTCCTTTGTTTGAGGTTGGGTTAATTTTGGCCAGACATTCCAACCAGTAGTTTTGGTAGAAGATGAGGCAGCCTCATCCCACGCAGAGTTCTTTGTAGCTGATGAAGAGATTTTAAGGTCCATTTGAGCAAGTTTTTGTTCCAAAGATACATATTCTGCAAAAATCTCCAAAACTTTTATAAATGGAAGAGGGCAAATATAGCTAATAAATGCATGAGAGTTCTTTCGAGGTTGGCTATCATTGTCCAAAACCTCTTCGTTTGCTTGATCAATGAAGGAAAACGTTTGATTGGCCATCAAGGATGTATCAGTCCATTTGTTTGCACAGGTAGTGGAGGTAAGGTTCAAGCACAAGAGGAAGTTAGTGTTTTAAACATTGCTTGAAGATGGTTATATTTCTGGAACAATTAATTACCATGTACTTCCTAGAACGTGGGCAGTAGTACATCGATCCACTAATATTACCAAGTATTGGTTATATCAGTGCAGGGGTAATGTTGGCCATGTATTTTGTAAAAGCAAGCCTGACACGTGGTTCGTAAGGGGAAATTTGGGGAGTCAGTAAAGGTCTCCAGTCATCAACAGACATGTGGCAATTGTATTAATGGCGATGGATCTGCAAGATACTGAAACAGTCAAGATGTGCATGGTGACGTGACCAAATGGTTGTTTACAATTTAAATTCAAATTCAAGAGGAAGCCCAACCGCAAGAGTAATTTAGTGGAAGCAAACTGTTTAAAGCCATCTCCAGTGATCATGGAGATTACTGCAACAGTTCTCATCTACTTTAACGATTATCAGTCACTTCGACGGTTATCATCAGAGCTTATAAATAGAGGAGAAGGCTGATAGCAGAAGGACCTAGAACCAAATCCAAAAACCAATTTATTTACTTTATGGTAGTGTTTAGTAGAGTTTTAGAACTATGATTTAAGAATAGAGTTGTATTTTGAGTTTGTGAGTTTTGGAATTATGATTTGAAAGGGAAAATTGTTTGGTTATGAGTTTTCAAAATAGTTTTGAATTTTTGACGTAACACGTGAAATGAGAAAATTTGTTTGGTTATGAGTTTTGAATTAATTGAAAAATTTATAACTCATAACCAAACACATAACTCGAAACTCTATTGAAAATTCTATTTAAAATTCATAACCAAACTCTTTTTAAAATTTAATTCGAAAAAATAATGTCATTTTGGTCTAAAAAATAATTTTTATATTTAAAAATATAAAAAATAAATATATTTTTTTTTTCTTCAAATAATAGGTGGTGATTAGCAATTGCAAAAAAAAAAAAAAAAAAAAAAAAAAATGTTACTGTTCTGGTCAACTAGCTGGATGTACGAAAGGATAATTGGGTAGGCTCAAAATTCAAAAAATTCTATGCTATCCAAACATGATCTGAAATGTGTTTTGGAATGTAACATTGAAATCAATTTTTAAAAACTTAAATCAAACAAAATATTGAAATATGCACTGGAATCATATTTCCAGAGCTTCTCCAAACACAACCTGTATATAATTTTTTTTCTAGTCCTTTACTTTCCTGCATTGCATTTCAAATTCTTAGGAGTAGTTCTAAGTTAGTCTGTTGTTGTAACTCCCTTCAAAGCTGTAAAAGGTCTGAATGTACAATTGTAAACTCTTGTGTACTTAATGAAATTTGATTTCTGACACTATTTCTCCTTCTTTTTTTTTACTTTTGTGATTAGTCTTCTGAATTTTCTCTTAAAACAAGCCACTAGTAAAAGTCCTATTGATTGAGGCTAAAAAGAACTTCGAAACAATCGTTTGATTAATTAGTCGACATTTACTATCTTTGTAAGGACTTATTGATCTTTGCTGGCACGCTCTAATTACATTTCTACCTTTTGAAAACCAAAAAAGTCAACAACTTTGCTGTCTAATAATTAAAAAAGTAATTAAAATATCAATTCATGAATTAGTCCTTGATCCATCTAAACAGACGGGGTAATGAATATTGATCATGTATTAGTCAAGTGTATCTAGCTTTACCCATCTTTACCCATTAATGATTTATCAAAACTGTATTATATGAGTTTGGATTCTCTCAAATTAGATCAATTTGAGAGAATAATTTGGGCTTGGTCAGATCATTTTGAGGTCAAATTCGACAATTCGAGCCATTCACTTTTTAAGATTTGTTGAGTAGAGTCTTTATATAAAAAAAAAATTAAAATGATCGAATATTAATAACTATATATTTAAATCATTTTTGTATTACAAAAATAAATGCTTGTCACCGAAATTATAAAAATTCAAACACTTATTATTTAATTTTTTGCCCTTTAGTTTGGAGTTTATTTTTGTAAATTAATTTTTAATTTTTCAAAAGCAATTCGAAAAAGAAATTTCAAAACTCAATCTAACAAATCACTTTGAAAATGATGTGTAAAATTTTTCTTGGTGTGAAATTGAAAATAAAAAAATAAAAATGCAATAATTTAGTCAATTAACTACCAGTCTAGGTACAGCCTCCTAATTGACAAATGCAATTTGTTTGAATCAGTTTGTAGAGTCATTAACATGAAAATAAGATTGACCCACAAAACATGGAAAATACAAAATCGAACAAAATAATGCCTATGAGTCCTAGACTTAACATATAAGAGCATCTTCAACGGTAATAGGCATTTTATATATCTAAACATTACTATAAAGTATATATTTTATTTTGCCTATCAACTATTTCATATTTTTATTCCAACCATGCTCTTTATTTTAGCTATTCATCTAAATATTATTAATTTTATAAAATGCCACATCAGCAACAAAAATGGTGGGAAATGATCCTAATGATTAAATACATTTTGCCTAGCCTTGAAGGCTAGCTACATGTAGCTAGTGAATGTGAGTTGAGCTAAAATGCCTAATCATATACCTAGTACATTAGAATTGAAAAAAATGAGTTATATTAGACATTTTAACTAACAAACATTTTATACCTAAAGTCAACAACATGTGGCCAAACCCAAAACTACTCTTAACCTCTATTAGGATCACATTTTATTTATTTATTTATTTTTGCAAAATGCCTTGGCTTTAGTGAATTTTGTCCATAGCAAGGTTTGCTAATGACAATGTAAGGAGAGAGAGATAGAGATAGAGAATACCTAACCCTGGAATCTCGCAGTATTATTTTGTTCAATGAATCAATGCATCTCGAAGTTGTTGTATAAATTAACATTTAGGGGTATTTTGGAAAGTTAGTAAATAGTTGACTTTTTGACTTTTTTGACAAAAAAAATTGACTTTTTTTATAACTTTTTTGTAATGTTTTTTAGAAAACTTGGTAAAAAGTCAAAAAACTATTTTTTTACCAAGTTTTCAAATTTTTCCTTGGTAACATAATCAAATGAGTAATAATTAATGTTGTGATCAACATATTAATGTGTTATATTTGGGCATTATTTGAAATTACATCTGTTACCATAATAAAGGATAGAGTAAATTATGTTGTTGATTTCTCTTAAAATTTTAAAAAAATATAATAAATTTTATAATTTTTTACATAATTATATTGACTTTCTTCTAGTAAATTTGAAGAAGCAAAAAATTAATATAGATGTTGTAAAAATATAAAGATAAATAAAATAAAATATATATTTCAGTATTAAAAAAGATAAAAATATAATTTTTCCATCCATATGTTTATCGAATTAGTGATGACAATGGGACTACTACTACTTTTTAAAAGATGGAACTCTGATAAAATAAGGGGATGCTTTTGTAATTTTCTTTTTTGCTGTGCAGAGAAAGAAGCATACCAAGCATCAAAACTGTTACGGGAATTGTGCCAAGGACCTGGAACACACTAGCACCAAAGATACCAGGCCCAATCATATTGAAGAAGAGCTCAGACCCAGCTGCAACATATTGATCTGCAAGGGATAGCAAGTACTCATACACCACTATCAAGAAAAGCTCACCCCAAAGCTCAGTTGTGCATGGCAAGAATCCATAGATGGGCTCACAAGTCACCGTCGTCGCGGTTAGATTCAATTCAACAATTGGAGATTTGCTTCTATAGTCTGCAGCGCCATCAGAGATCAGGTTTTCTGTAACGATTCCGCTATGTGTCAAATGGGTCAGTGAGAGGAGAAGGAAGATGAGAAATGTAGGTTTTATCATTTTGATGGAAAACTTTGAATTGGAAAATGTTTCTTTTTTTTTTTTTGATGGGCAAAAAAATGTTGTGGTTGAGAAGATGAAGATGAAGATAAGATAGTTATATAGAGGATTTTTGATGGAGACAAGGATTGGAATTTTGAGTAGAGCAAGAATGGTCTTTGACATTCTTAAATGAACTATAAGACAAATCTATGTAATGGAATGGTTGTGACTACGTATGCAGCACGATATTGTTGTCTTTTCACCCTTGAGTAGAATAATTAGCAACCTAATAAAATAAGGAAAATTACAAACGAAAAAGATGGGAACATTGGAAAACAGGGCTGGGCTGTGGTTGCCTCCAGTAGAGTTCAGGTTCGTAGGTCAATCACGGGTTCCGTTTTAATAATTTAGATTATTTATTTATAAGACTCTTCGTTTATATTGTCTATGAAAAAAGTTAAATTGATCCAATTATCATAACCTCCTCATTTTATCGTGTTTGTTAAAAAAAAACATAGATGGTCTATTTTCAAAATCACACTTTTTTTTTTTATTTGATCGGCAAAGAAAATTTTTATTGATGAAACATACAAGGTATGAAGATTACATCAATAAAGAGAAGTTTGGGACTAAAAAGCACCTAGCGCCAGATGGTGAGAAACCAACAAAGAGAAAAAGAGGAAAAGACAACAAAACAGAAGCAAAACACCCAGAGGTTGAAAAACATCAGCAACCAAAATGGAAGCAAAATTCTCACTTGACAAGCTTTGCTATCCAAAAGAAGCTGATCACAGAAGCATAATTCACAGAGTGGAAGAAGCAACAGCAGCAGAAATCTCACACAACAGTAGGCAAAACCCATTTCTGATCTAAACAAAAGCAGCCTTTCATTTGAGATCGAAGCAACAAAACAGCATGGTATACATATCTGATCAATTCAGAGCCACAACCAATCTATACAATTCAGACCAATTACATTCTAGAAGATCGCAGAACCAGAACAACTAAACCAGCCTTCCCATTCTGATGAAAACAATTAACCTACCTACCCATTTCAGAAACAGAAGCATTCTCACTCCTGATGCAATTCAGAGCACTGGCAGGTAGGAGAGTATCAATGGCAACCCCTTATTTGACTCCAATTTAGAATAATATCATTAATAGAGTAAGGGAAGTCCCTAAGGGAGGCTTTAAGCCAAAAAGCTAATCTAACTTTGATGAGGTCCCACAGATCAGCTGAGTTAGGAGGAACACCAGAGAAAGTACAATCGTTTCTGTGTTTCCAAAGGGACCAGAGGACAACAAGGGGAGTGGCTCTCCAAAATTTCCTGAGAAAAGACTTAAAATTCACCCCCATCCACCAAGAGAATAGATCTGATACAGATAGAGGAATGCACCATTGAAGACCCCAATCCTGAAGCACAGTGGACCAAATGACCCATGAGAAGGAACAATGACGCAATAAATGCTGGACAGATTCTGGAGCAGAATTGCAAAAGATGCAAGAGGTGGAAATGTTGTGGCCTAGGATGCCAAGGTTGCGCAAGAATTCAGAAGATTTAATTCTATTTTTCCAAGCCAACCAACCGAAAAATAAGACTTTGGGGGGCAAGGAGTGGTTCCAAACAAACTTGCTTAGAACTAGTGGAGGCCCAAGAAGAGAAGAACTAAAGGAGTATAAGGAGGACACAGTGAACATACCAGAACCAGCTGCTGCAGCCGCCCAAGCCAAACTATCAACACACTCAAGTCTTAGAGAAGGAGCAGGGGATAACAAATCGAACAGTCTAGCTTCATCCGCTAACTCCCAATCATATAATGGTCTTTTATATAGAAAGTTCCAACCATTGGAGCTAGATTTCATTGCACAAAAAAAGTGGAGGGAACCAGACTTGGCAGAAGAGAGGGTGAAAAGATTAGGAAACTTGTGCTTGAGGGAGGCGGTCGCACACCACTTATCATGCCAGAATTTGATCATGCGGCCATCACCTACCTTAATTAGGCAATTATCCAAGAAGTAGTTAAAAATGATTCTACTTTGAACCCCTATTAACATGATATCCTTTTAGACCCTGGAGTGTTTATATGAAGATTTCACTAGAGGAGACCAGTTGTCAACCTTTATCTTATATTTACTGCATATAACTTGCCTCCAAAGAGCATTAGTTTGAGTACCAAATTTCCACCACCATTTGAGAAGCAGGCAAGAGTTAACATCCTTAATCCTCCTAATGGCTATACCCCCTTGAGGAAAACTTTTTGTTACTTCTAGCCATTTGACCAAATGAATTTTCTTTTTTTAATTCAGAACCACCCCACAAGAATGCAGCCTCTAATTTCTCGAAGTCACGAGCCACACCTTCAGGCATCCTAAAGAGAGAGAGGTAGAACACAGGTAAGCTCGAAAGAACGGATTTAATCAGAGTTAATCTTCCAGCAAAGGACAATATTTTCCTCGCCCATCCTGCAAGTCTTGCTCTGACAGAATCCAACACAGGTTTCCAAGTTGATTTCCTACCAGGATTAGCGCCTAGAGGCAGCCCCAAAAATTTCATAGGTAAGTCAAGCACCTTGCAATTCAAAAGGTGAGAAAAAGAGTGTAGTGACTCTTCCACCATGCCAACTCCACAAACAACACTTTTGTGATAGTTGATCTTAAGACCGGATAGTACTTCAAAGCACCTGAGGATTCTTTTGATTATAACCACCTGATCCAAATCTGCTTCACAAAAAAGGATAGAGTCATTAGCGAATTGGAGATGGGATAAGAGGACCTTGTTAGCTCCAACCAATATTCCTTTAAGAATGCCAAGATTAATTGCTCTGGTAATAAGAATGTTGAGCCCTTCAGCCACAATGTTGAATAGGAAAGGTGATGATGGATCACCTTGCCGAAGGTCTCTATGCGGAGAGAACTCACTAGTTGGTGATCCATTCACTAAAATGGAGATCCGGGCTGAAGATACACAGGATTTCATCCAAGAGATCCACTTAGAACCAAACCCAAAACTGGACATCAAGGAGAATAAGAATTCCCAGTTTACAGAGTCAAATGCTTTCTCGATGTCCAACTTGATAATTAGTCCTTTCCGTTTGGTTTTCTTCCAATCATCAACTAGTTCATTGGCAATGAACACCCCATCAATGACATTCCTACCACTAATAAAAACTATTTGAGTCTCTCCAATAATTAAGGGCATCACTGGCTTCATCCTATGCACAAGAACTTTTGCCAAAATTTTGTAGAGAGAACTGACCAAGCTAATGGGTCTATAATCAGTCAGATTGACGGGATTGGCAAGTTTGGGAATGAGGGTAATGAAGGAGCTGTTGATGCCATAGGTGAGCTTGCTGTTTTTGTGGAAATCTCTAAAAAATTGCATGATCTCAAGCTTCATAAGTTTCCAAAATTTTTGGTAGCACAACAAGTTGAATCCATCCGGGCCCGGAGCTTTGTTACCACTACTCTCCTTGATGGCAGCCAAAACCTCAGCTTCCATAAAATCAGATACCAGGTGAATAGATACAGGGCTGCCCTCAATTGTTTTGAAGTCCCCAACCAACATAGGCCTACTCGCCCAATTTTCCATGAATTGATGACTGAAGTGACGGAGCACCTTTTGCTTGACTATGCTAGGATCTTCACAGGGCACACCATTAATTGGAATGGGGTTAATCATATTTCTACTTTGTCTAGAACTTGCGAAAACATGAAAAAATCTAGTGTTTTTATCCCCCTGCAGTGACCATGTTAGTCTAGATTTCTGATGCCATAACCATTCTACCCTCCTATAGAGATTCCACATTTCACCTCTAACCTCCCTTCTCCTGCCCTTTTCTGAAGCAAGTAGCTCTCTGGACTTCGCAGTGATATCTAGTGCATGCAATTCATTTTCTGCAGCCTTAAGCTGAGAGGAGACATGACCAAACACTTCCAAATTCCATATCTCTAGATTCAGCTTTAAGTGCTTAAGTTTTTGAAGGATTCTGTAACTAGCCCAACCCACAAAGTTCGAATTCTGCCAACAAGTAGTAAAGAAATTTGAGAAACTAGGGTGTAAGGTCCAAGTGTTGATAAACCGAAAAGGTTTGGGGCCTTAATCTCTGTCATCTTCCATCAACAATAAAGGGCAGTGATCAGATATGAGCCTAGGCAAACCCTACAGCTTCATGTTGAAGTGGATTAGCCATTCAGGGCTAAGCAAGACCCTATCAATTTTGCTTCATTTCTGAGCATCCTGAGTATTACACCAAGTATATTTTCTACCATAGAGAGGGAGGTCACTCAGTTCACAGGCATCTATAAACTCATTTAGGTGTTTCATACCCTTGTCTCTCCAGGAACATCCAACTCTCTCTCCCATATGTCTTATCTCATTGAAATCCCCTCCCAAGCACTAAGGGAAAGGAAAGTGAATTTTGAGGTTGAGAAGGGCTTTTCAAAAATTGGGTCTGCTGCTGACCTCATTGGGGGCATAAATGTTAAGCAAAACACAATGGAAAGAGTTATACAATGTACCTGAGAGTAAGATAAACCTCCTGTTGCAGCAGCTACCAGATAATTGGAACACACCTGGATTCCAGATGCACAGGAGCCCACCTGCTGAGCCTTCAGGGTCCACAGGCAAGAACTCCATATTCCTATTACCCCATAGCCCCGTAGCCACAAAATCCGACACTACTACCCTCTTTGTTTCTTGAAAGAATGCCACATTAATGTGCCTATCTTTTAGAAGCTTTTTAATTCTACCCCTCTTCTCAGGTTTGCCAATACCTCTAACATTCCAGGATAAAAGCTTCATAAATAGACAAATACACACTCTGAACATACCTAGCTACTGCACTTACATCTTAGCCTTACCCTCCTTGATAATTCTTTCTTTGCCCTTGAGTTCCAAATCATTGATCTTGTGTAACACTACATCTTCTTTTCCTTGAAAATTAATTCCAAGCTTTTGCCCCAACTGAACAGTAGCTGTAGCTTCTTTGAGAAGAAAGCTACGATGGCTTGAATAGCCCTCGGAAAGATCAGATTGAGCGAGGGCAGCAACAGCTGGTCTAAAGATAATCGGTTTGGAGTTATTTCTGCTGATGGCCGAAAGACGAGCAAAACGGGAGAAGCCCTCCATATGTGCCTTTTTTCTCCC